TAAAATTTATTGACTAAAAAGACTATTGATTAAAAATGTTATTAGAAGTGATTTTAGAAAATATTGTGCTCTATGCCAATTTTATGTGAATTTATAGTTTATATAATGGATTTGCATTATTTTACGAACTTCTTTAAAGTTGTTACACCTTTGTAGGTTTTTAAATGTCACATCTGTAATACAAGATGAACAGACTAATGCATATTTTTAGTCTATAATTTTGCATATGTACCTGAATTAACATTTTATTTGAATATACATAAAATATATTTTTTATTTCAAAAATGAATATATAACTGGAAAAGCCACAAGAGAACAAATACTAGTGCTTTTTAAAGCACTGGTTGTTATAGTTTGTGTCTGGATGTCCCCCCATAGCCTCATGCAGTCATGGGAGGGGCTGCTAGGGTTTATGAGTGATGCCCAGGTGTGAGAGCTATACCTGCCCTGGGATGGGTAGTTTGCATACGGTGTAAGGGAGGGAAAGAGGCTGCTTGCTGGCCTCCCCACTTTTGCTCTTGTTGCTTTTGCTGACTTCTACCACCATAAACTGTTGCCTTCTGCCATGTGCCATTCTGCCTTGGAGCCAGCAGAGTATGGACTGAAACCTCCACAAACTGTGAGCTAAATAAACCTTCTGTCTCAGCAATCAGAGAAAAATAACTAAAACAATGGTGGTCTTTAATTTATGTTTTTTTGTTTTTGTTTTTGTTTTTTTTTTTTGGTTTTTTTTTTGGTTTTTCTCCGGTACCGGGAACCGAACTCATGACCTTGCGCTTGCCAGGCAGGTGCTTTTGCTGCTGAGCTAAATCCCCAGCCCCTATGTATGTTTTGAAGTAAAATAATTTCCAAACTGAAAATAGTGATAAAATGTCATTGGCTAATATTCCAGACATAGCCAAATATCTTTTACCACTCCCCCCAGTGTTTACCTTGAATTTTGAACTTTTCCTTATAATTTAAATCCAAGACTATTGGAAGTTGATTCAGAGAGAGAGAGAATGCATCCCAAGCCTCTAACCTTCAGTTACATGCTCATGGTTACAGTGAGGCTTGTCTTTCATGTGGTACATCTGCATAAATGTACAATGCTGAGCTGGGTGTGGTGGTGCATGCCTGTAATCCCCGCACTTGGGAGGCTGAAGCAGGAAGATTATTGCAAGTTCAAGGCCAGCCTAGGCTAGAAAGTAGGTTCAAGACCAGCCTAAACTGCTGCATAGCGAAACCCTGTCTCAAAAAGACAAAATTAAAAAAAGTATATTGGCAGGTGAGAATTCTACCACTGAACCACCCATGCAAAAAAAGTACCTTGCTATCATACCATCACATTCCATTTTGTCATCTGAACTTCCTTCTATCTAAACAAATCCAGTTAATTGCATGATTAAGTTTGGATGCTTCTAATAGTGAAGGTCTATTGCAAATGGGTTAAAGTAGAAAATATGAACATAAAGTGGTAATTATTAGTGTCTGCAACCTTATGATCACTAGGAACACATGTACAGTTAAAAAAGTTTCAAAGAAGGTGATCACATATTAAGAAGACCATAGCCTTTTCAATAAAAAGGTGATACAATTGCAAAACTTAAATAAATGGTAGTTATTAAACTGTGAATAATTCATTAACCACTCCATTATATCAAACTTTTATTTTTTCTAATTTGAGTTGATTTTACTTTAAATGTGTGCCTTATTATCATATTATATTGTTTTGGTTATCCTGGCTAAAAAGTTCATTTATTGTAAATTTCAAAGTACTTGACTCAAACTTAGGTCACCTATTTATTAAGTATATGATTTTGTATAAGTGATGTCACCTCTTTGAATGCTTCTACTAGTGTTTGACCTTAATAATATCAGCAATTACGGGCTGGGGATTTAGCTCAGCGGCAAAAGCGCCTGCCTGGCAAGCGCAACGTCGTGAGTTCGGTTCCCGGTACCAAAGAAAAACCAAAACAAAAAAAAAATCAGTAATTACATGCATGATACAATTTGCATGCCTCTCCCCACATCATAAAATCTGATCTATTGCTATTCCTTGTTTCTGACACCCTCGATGAAATCATGTCTGTGTGTCTCTGTTATGTGTTTTTGTATGGTAGACACCACTGTGATTCAGCAATACTTCCGATCCCCTCTTTCTGAACACACAAAGTATAAGCACATTCCACCTTCATGAGGTTCTCTCTGTCTGGTTCACGCTCCCTCATCGATACATACATGTAATGCTAGGTGCTCTATTTGCCAGTCAACAAATTTTCTGCGTTAGCAGTTATGGAAAAAATTGTGAGAGGAATGTGCCATTACAGTGAGGCTGATTGGAACACTGATTTGACACACAGGTGACAACTGAACTGAAGTATTGTCTGTACACAGCAGTCATAGAGTTGGTGAAGCATATGAAGGTGGAATGTGCTTCAGCGTTCAGCCACTGACGTTTGGAAGATGTGTCCTACAGCAGCATGAGCCAGGTGATCATGAATCTATATTCTGCAAAGTAGGATTAAATCTACCATTAAGTATATTATCTGTGTATTAATAGCTTTCAAAACATATTTTTGTGCATTGATTAAACATTCAGCAATAAGATGCTTAAGACCATATTATCAACCTATAATGATGTGAAAGTGTAATGGAACTTAAATTGATAGTATCATTCATTGAATTCAGAATGTATATTTTTCTCATAGCTGGAAAAAAAGTTTGATCTGTGATAGATTGCAAGCATTATTTTAATAAAAACAGATACATTGATTTAAATAAAATTTAGGTTATTTATTTATTCTTGTTTTTTTTTTTTTTTTTTTTTTTTTTGCTCTTTTTGATACAGCATCTCACTATGCAGTTCAGGCTGGCCTTGAGCTCACATTGTAGCCCAGGCTGGTCTTGAACTCACAACAATCCTCCTGCCTCAGCCTCCTGAGTGCTAGGATTACAGACATGTGCCACCACACCCAGTTCAATTTATTTTTTATACCTAGAGTTCTCTAGAATGTTAAATAAAGATCAAGTAACTTTATTCCTCTTATTTCTAGCCCATTTTATCCTGCCCTTCAAAGAGATGTTTATAATATTTATATCAATCTATTAGTTACAGAAAATCATTGAAA